TGTCTAAGAAAGATACCCCTGTTTTCCACACGGTAGCTTTCGGGTTGGGGAGGAGGGGGAGGGAGATAATGGGAGGCGAGTGACCCAGACGTAATTATTTGCCACAAATTGTAGTTTAGCTGTCTGTATAATAACCCAGTCAAGATCCTGCTTGTTGACACGGTACGTGATTGAAAACAGCGCTCAGCCATATTTTGTTCGAAACTTGTACAATACTTGCACGTATCTATGAGCAAGTAACAGACGCCTATTGGCTTAGGAATATGTTCCAGTAAACAAGTAAGGCTAGACCGAATGAGCAACTTAAAAATGTTGTTTCCTTTTTATGACATTGTGTTGCTGACATTCGATGAAGCTATTTATCAGTACATTCTGATACTGATTCTGACGCAATTCAACCGTAGCACGTGTTCGTAATTGATCACCACTGGACCTTTTTTGTTTGAAATGAGGACTTCAGATTTAAGAAGTATAAAGTGCTCATCAGACAAATAAGACCTTAATATGCTAGGTTTACAAATATTAGAAATGTTACTTGTCCCATCGTCATGTTTATAAATGATTATTTTCCAGACATATAGTTAATTTTTCGTACTAAACAAAACTTTATATTAAAGCTTCAACTACTAGAGTTTCCCATTCGTTCTTTCGTCTATCTAATATTTGGTTGTATCGTTAGGTCTAAAAGTATTGATTAACAGTAATTATGAAGAGAAATTACGGGTATTGATTACGTCAGTGATGAGTTCTATGTTTGTACAACATACAAAAATGTTTAATTCATGATAAGTAATGCATGTGATGATATTTAGGTTACACAGAACTTTTTGTTCAGAGGCATTTGCTCCAGTTCTATTTATTTATACTATACTAGCAGACGTACCGGGCGTTGCTTGGGGGGTGGGGGGGGGGGGGGATTGAGAAATGACAACTAAAAGGAAATGAGTATAAAAACATATTTATTTCAAAACTTTTATTTTTCTAAAAAACATAACACATACCTACACAAACACTAATACTAAAAAATGAAATAACTACATTAAAGAGCCTCTTTGTAAACAATGTTCCTGGTCTTGCCTTCTGGTGCATTGCCTACATGAGAGCATCCAACTTAAAGCTGCATATGAGAAAAGTAAGGAGTTGTCCAATTTGGTCCAACTACCTTTAAAGATTGTTCTTGAGCCTTGTTAATGTACATTGCAAAGCTGAGTTGGATGGGGAATTGAAGTATCTTGAATTCAAAAGCTGTGTCAGTTTGGATGATAGGTATCCGAGGTAGAAAGACAGCTTCACTTTTGAAATTGCCTGTAATGATTGTTGCTTTGATGACATGAGAGAGTAATTATTTCACAATTAACTTTGTGCCATTGCATAGCCTAGGTGGGTCCAAGTTTCTCAAAACCAGGAGCAGTGTCCCAATTTTGAGTACCAAGTTGTGTGGTGGAACACATGAGAGTTGCAGGGAATTCAACTGTATTGTGAACAACTTGATCAGAGTCCAACACTGAGTTAGTGGATTTGTAAAACTTGTTCTCTCCAGGTAATTTCTGCAACAAATTGGAATTTATCCTGTTAACCAAAATAGCCCTCCCTTGTAGCCAGATAATGTCATGGAAATGTTGTTGCATATTTGGGAACACCCTTTGCTCCAGTTCCTCTCCTGAAGTGGAAAGGATGCCTTTAGACATGTTGATAAGTCCACCTGTTCCTTCAGCAAGAATATTTCCATTTCCAATGTCAAGAAGAGCTGCAGCAAAGTTTCCTGCCTCTTGGTCACCATGGAAACACACTCCCATGTTTGTAGTTAGCTTTAGTTTGAAAACATGTTTCCAAAGGAATGGTGACTTGATGCAGGTATTCAACTCATCAGCTTTGGTTCTTCGAGGTACAACAGGTAAGGTCTGTCAGAAGTCACCAGCAATGAGAAAAGTTACACCATCCATAATCCTGGCATTATCCCTAAGGTTCTGCAAAGTTGTGTTGACAGCCTCAAATGCTCCCTTATGGGACATGGTTCATTCATCCCACACTATTAATTCAAAATCAACTAGGACTTGTGCAAAGGCAGTCCCCTTTGAAATGTTGCAAACAGTGGACTCTTGTCGGGATAGATCTATTGGAAGCTTTAATGTGGAATGGGTTTCTTCCTCCAGTAAACAGAGTTGCTGCAATCCCTGATGATGCCCCACAGCTAGAGCAATTTTTTCCTTGAGACGAACCTTAGCCAGGAGCAGGTTTAGAACAAATTTCCTCCCAGTGTCATCAGGTGCATCAAGGAAAAATATGCCTCCATTTCTAGACTCAGTATCTTCCAATATTTTCGTGTAGGCTTCTCACTGTTTAGCCATCAGTTTGGCACATTTTCCCCAGTGAAGTCAAGAAGTTCCAAAACATCATAGGAAATTTCACGTAGAATCTCTTTGGTAGGGGCATGCTGGTTGTCCCTGGAGGGCTTTGGTAGTCACATCAACTTGAGGTCTTTCCTACCAATGGAGAGAAGTTTGTCTTCAATGAGAATGAGGGCCTGGTTAAAGATGATATCAGAAAAGTTCACCTCAAGGTTGGGATTTTCTCTCTGAGCTCTGTGGAGGATATCCTCACTCATGCCTTCCTTATATTTCTGCCAGAGTCCCATGGGATTGGATGAGCTGCAAACTTGAAGAATGATGCAGAAGAGCAATCTCAGTTGAGAAGCAGACTGACTAACATGGCTTCATAAAGGTGTTGATCATCTTCAAGGATGCCACGAAGATGGCAAACTTCCCTGTATGTTTGACAGCCAACTACTTCCACTGTTCGGAGGTCTTGGAATGATTTTGGCCGTTTGACAACATGGAAAAGCATTCGCAGAAAGTAGCACTCCTGGTTGTTGGGATGAACTGTATAAACTCTTCCTAAGGCATCCGATTCACCAGCTCGTTGTTTCCATTTATTTTGAGCAGTCCAGGTGTGGTAGGAGGGAACTTCATGATAGAGTAGGTTGGCGGCAAATGGGTCACTTTAGCACATCTCAGTAGTAGTAGATATGTTGACCATTTTCGAGATGAACTGCCAAATGAACCACTGGGGAGGGGAGATGCTCATGGATGGGGAAGTCAAGAATTATCCAAATGGTTTCATTGCTGCTGATGTATCTTCCCATGACAAAAAGCTGAACTTCACCCAGGCTTAACCTCTCTCTCTCTTTGCGAGGGAAAAACAGCCATGTTAGATCCTTTGTTGATATATTTGCAAACATATTTGATGGATTTGAAGAATTCCACATTGATGTGAGCCTCAAAGATCTTGCACATAAAAGGGCAGTAGGAAATGATCCACAGGTTGTCAATCTTCATTTCATAGTTAGTGCCAGGTCTGAACATTGTTTCAAAACCACCATCTTCAGGTTTTCTGCAATGATATAGAGGATAGTCATCATATCCTGTCTGAGTTTATTGCAAGAAGTTTGTGGGATACTTCTTGGTGGATTTTCAGTCTTGCATACAGGGTGAATACGGATTGAGCTCTCCACATGGACCATTTGCTTGCAGACCACATCATATAGGCCAGGGTTTTTCTCAGTGTCAGGTAGCTCAGCACTGATAAATATGTCAATTTCACTTGCATTAATCTTTTCCCTCAACCATACCAAGATGTAGGCATGAGGAAGGCCACGTTTTTGTCGCTCAGTGGTGTGCAAGTTACGACTTGTGTTCCCAAAGACACCACCATCCTTTGTAGTGATCAGCCTCATCAGTTCATCAATTTTGAGTTTAATCAACCTGGCAATGATGTCATGTCTCTCTGTTGGCTTTTGGTTTTGATAAAGCTGAATTTGGATCTCCTTCCATTTTGGATTGCAAGTGAAGTTGATGAAGAAATTGGGCCTGCCATATTGCCTGACATAGGACATCGCATCTTGAGTCCTCTCATGCATGTATCTTGGTCCACCTATGAAGGATCAAGCCAAAATAACCAATCTCCCCACGTTCCGAGCATTTGCACCTCCATCGGCATTGACAGCATCCCTGTTATGAACATACTGTTCTACATGCAGGCACTTTTGTTTGAATGTAACGAAGGTGCTCACTTTCAATTTTGGCATACTCATCCACAACATACTGGTGAAAAAGGTTGTTGCACCTTAAGATCTGGTTTCCTCATTTTTTGTCCATGATCATGAAGGAATAGAAGTCCTTGGAGGAGACGTTTTTTTTTTAAAATGAGCTTTGCCTGTCGTTTTGATAGTTTTAAGAATCTGGAAATGGTACCATTTTGACCTTGCCACAGGTTCATGGGATAGTGTATGACATCATAGGATCTAGTTGTCTCAGGAATTCGTTTGGTGGTGTTGTCTTGGTATTGAAGAAAAATGTCTCTCTTACCATACTCTTCACCCACCATAAGAACAGTGACTTCATCACAATTGGGGAACTGAATCTCTCTGTATGCCCCCCCCCCTAGGGACCTTGTATGCACTGTTTACAACCTGGTAATCATTGGAAGTGACTTGTTGAGCTGAATGTGTGAAACTTCTGATCAATGAATTGTGTTGGTGGAACAACCTATGGAGGGAGAGGACGATATTTAGTTGGACACCAGGAACGTTGCTGCACCGCTTGTTACCTTGCTGACCTTCATTTCTTATGAAGTAAATCTGGACAAACTTGGACTTTTTTCCAGGTAGTGGCTGAATGGATCTTATTCGATGATAGACTTGACCTTCAACTTTGAAGGTGGTCATAAATCCTGGCTCCACTACCTCCTATGATGCACCAAAAGAAGTCATTTCAAAGCAAGAATTGTACTTCCTGATTTTGGCCAGCCAGAAAGTGCTTTGACTTAGGGATTTGACCAAATTCAAAGGATTTCAGTGGCTCAGGAGGGGTCTCTACAAAGTTTTAAGCTTAACTTTTCCATCACTACAGCACATTCTCTTAGATTCTTCTTTTCACTTTTTAGCACCACATTCTTGGCAAGTAACTGACATAGAGCCTGGTAATCTATCTCAGGTTGGTAACTTAAAGCAGCTCTGTTCCAGTTAGAGTTATTTCTTCTTGTTCTTGCAGCAGCAGGAGCATGTTGGTCTTGCCTTTGGCGCTCCCTTCTTGTTTTGGTACTTCATTGTCTCTGATTGCTGCCACGGACCTTCGATCTGTGACTTGTCCAGATGCATGCTGTTCAGACGTTTCCTCAGCCTGCTCAGTAGACATTCGGTTTCTGACTTGTCGAGAATCCCGCTCCTTAAGTGTCTCCCAAATCCTTGCAGCTGCGGTGCATTCCTTGTTTATTTCTTGTTGAGACTCCTGTTGCTCCAGTGTTTGGCTTGCTCGCCACGGTGCCACTATTTTTGTGGATGTATTGGGCTTCGAGAGGCTGTACTTCTTACGTTTTGGCATTTTAGGGGGTGATCTGTAGGGAAAACAAATTGAAAAAGTCTGAAGTGTAAAGGAGGATGTATATATATGTAGTTTTGAAGTGAAAAAGATAGTTTCATCGGTCAAAGAATTAAGGACATAGTTCTGCGCATGCGCATACTTGCTCTTTTGGGTTCGGTTCTATATGATTACAACCGACCTGGGTCCAAAGCCATCTGCATGTCAATTTTCAAGTCGACCAGTGAAAGAGTTAAAAGTTAGGTTTGTGCGCACACACACACACACACACACACACACACACACACACACACACGACGACCACACTACA